TGGTCTCTGGCATTGTCTCCCTGCCATCTTCCCTCCCCCCCCCCCACTTTTTTTTTTTCAAGGCAGGGTTTCTCTATAGCTTTGGAGCCTGTCCTGGAACTCGCTCTGTAGACCAAGCTGTCTTCGAACTCACAGAGATCCCCTGCCTCTACCTCCCGAATGCTGAGATTAAAGGCGTGCACCACCACCACCTGGCTTCTTCTTCCCTCCTTTTTTTTTTCCAGCCTAAATTCCTCCTCTTACTCTCCCTGCCTAGAAGTTCCACCTATACCTCCTCCCTCACTGTTGGCCATTCAGCTTTTTATTAGGCCAAGCAGGTGTCTTAGGCAGGCAAGGTAAAACAGCAACACATCTTTATATTATTAAATATCTATCGTTACATATATAAATAAATGCAACACATCTTTCTATAGTTAAATACTCCACAACATAGTTATACAAATGCAACACATCTTTGCATAGTTAAACAAATATTCTGAAACAACAGTATTAACTATAAAGGAAGCCCTGTGCCCAGTATAAGAGCCCACTGACACTGGAGTAAGGGAGTAAAGAGGGGCCATAACTACAGATAATTGGTGACTTTTGTCTAAAAGCCTAAGGTGAGTAATTTTCCTAGATTGGGTTGGGTATCAATGGAATAAGAGAAAAGAGCTTGTATAATTACACCCTCAAACTCAGGAGGTGAGAGAGGACCTTGGCTACCTGTTAGGGTCTAGAGGTGCTTGTGATGGTAAACCTTTAGTGTCAACTAGACTGGTTTAGAGTCCCCTAGGTATGACTATGAAGGTGTTTCTACCCTCTTTGAATGTGGATAGCTCCATTCCATAGCTGTAGTTTTGAGTGAATAAAAAGGAAGGTTCCAGCTGAACACCAGCTCCCGTCTGTCTTTGTTTCGTGATCATGGACATAGTTGACCAGCTGACTCACTCTCCTGTTGCTATGACTTCCTTATTGTGATGCACTGTATCCTCAACTTCTGAGCCAAAATAAATTCTTTCCTTCTTCAAATTGCCACATAGCTTCAGGTAGTCTTTTATTTTGTGGAAGGACTTTTAAATAAACCTAACTCCCCTGGATTAACCAAAAGATGAAATCTGGAAAAAGTAAGGTCAAGCTTGAGGCTGCGTATATTCCCACAGTCTATGATGGCTTTGATTGCCTGTGTTCAGAATATGATGTACTGAGATTGATAATGAGCCTCAGAATTTAATAAGGGAGGAGTCAGCCTGGAGAAAAGATGTACCATAAAGAACTATGAAAGAGTCTAGATGAGTGGTAGTCTTGGGGGCAATTTGGGATCTTAAGGGTGGGATTGGGAGGAGAGTGGGCCAAGACAATTGAGATTCCAGTGTAAGCTTGGTGAGAAACCACAAAAGAGAGTATTCCTCTAAGCCTTTGCAGAAAATGGAAGGTGCCACATGGTGGGAACATATTGGAAATGAAATATGGGCCATTATTAGACTATAGGGATTGAAAAAGCCCAAAGCAAGAAATGCTGTGTTCTGTGAGGATGCTGGCTACCTCTGGGGCTCTTTCTTCTTGGTGGGAAATACCTTTATTTACCCAGGGAAGATGTTCAGTAGATGTCTGTATTGTCTGTATCCCTTGCACAGGTGCATGGAAGTCAAGTCCAATTGCCAATCTTCTCCTGGCATAGTTCCTCTTTGCTGCAATAGGAGAAGGGGAGCGGGTTTAAGGACCCCCTCTGGATTGGCTTGTCAAGTAGGGCAAGCTTTAGAAATGTATCACATCTAAGGAACACTGTGTCTGTGAAGACAGGTTCCACTAGAATTTGAGGGATTCAGCCCTCAAATGTATGGCCTAATAAGAACAGTTAAGGGCCTTTCCCTGGGAGAATCCAGGGAACAATAGCTTGATTCTGGGCTTTGTAACTATGTGTCTGGAGTGGTTGTGGAGCCCTGGTCTAAAGCCTTTGGAAGGACAAATTTTGGACATGGGAGAGTGGGATTGGTAATGTAGGCTTAGCTACCCATTTAGCCTGTTGCTCTGCTTGGTTGTTTCTGTGAGAGATGCCAGAGTTGTCTTTTTTGATGGCCTTATGATATATAATGGCCACCTGAGTTAGAATCGTGGTGCCTTTTGGAAGGATCCAAATCCCATGAGCATATTTAACCAAGGCATTACAGGCATTGAGGAGCCCCTTTCTCTGAAGATGGCTTCATGGTTGTGGGTCACATAGAAATCACAGGCTGGATCTGTGTAAATATGTCACAGGGTAATTAGCTGTGCTCTTGAGGCAGGTGTGGAATTACTCAAAATGACGCAGAGCCTACACCCTCTGAGTTCACTATTGCATATTGAAAGTCTGTGTCTTAAGCGCCATCAAATTGCTGTTGTTCATGACCAGGGAGGCTGTTTGGGGAGGTGGGGAATGGAATCGCCCAGATCTGGGTTAGCACAGCAGGGAGGTTGACTGTTCTCGGGGATTGTCATAGACAGTCACTCCCTGGGGTTATCACAATGGGTACTTTTCTCACCGCTGTGACAAAATGCCTGACAAAGCTAAGGAGAAGTCTATTTGGGTACAGGAGGTGAGGCAGCCAGTCGGTCACATTGCATCCAGTCAGGAAGATGAATACCACTGCTCAGCTCACTTTCCCCTTTTCACACAGTCCAGGACCCCAGCCTTCAGAATGGAGCCGTCCACTCCTGCCTTAATTACCTTATACAGGGATTCTCTCACAAACAGTGGTTTGTTTACTAGGTGATTTAGAAGATACAAATTGAAAATAAGTATACAGACATTAGTATTGTAAGATTGAAACACTGGCAAGATTTTGTTTTTTCTGATTTTGGTTTTTGAAGACTTGGTTCCACCATGTAACAGCTCTGGCTGTCCTGGAACTTGCTCTGTAGACCAGGCCGGCCTCAAACTCACAGATCTGCCTGCCTCTGCCTCTTGAGTGCTGGGACTAAAGGTGTGCCCTGGTTTTATGGTAAGCTCCGAAGTCTGGTTTTGTTGAGTGTGCCGTGGAGATAAGCAATTGTCCATTTATTAGGACTCCACAGTTTGGATTGAACACCCAATGCTACACAATGACCTTTCATATGTGTGGGCAAAAGAGGGTTTAGTAAGACCAGGGGAGAGAATGCTGGGACAAATCTAAGAGATCTAGGGCATTAGGGGGTGAATATGATCAAAATACATTATGTACATGTATGAAGATGTTATAATGAAACCTGTTATTATGTGTACTACTAAAAATGTTAAAAACTACTCTTGCCAGAGAGTCATTTGCTGGACTTTGTCTCTGTTGCTTCTGTTCTTTATGGCTCCCACTGCCCAACATATATGTCCCTTGTACTACCTAAGGATGAGGGCTCCTACTTCAGAGCTCTTCTGCATCTAATTCCCTTCTTATTTGTGTGTGACTTTAGTGTTTGTATAATGATCAACTAACAACCCAGGCTTTCTGGGAACCTGAAATGTAAAACACTAACAATTTGAGCAGAAATTCAAATATCATATCCCCCACCCCCACCATTAGATTGACTGCAGATTTCCTTGCAGTTTCATGCCCCCCACCCACCCATGTTCAGTGTAAGTAACCGCTACCCATTTAGCCTGGATGCCATGATGGCCTCTTGCTAGGACTATCATCATTCTTATTTGTTTGCTATTTATTTAGTGACAGGGTCTTGATAAGTAGCCCAGTTTGGCCTGTTTACCACCAAATAGCCTGGCTGTCCTCAAACTCATGACATAAAAATATGTCTAGTATTAGTGACACAGCCCCAGCTACTCAAGGGGCTGAGGCAGAGAGAGATATTCTGCTTCAAATAAATAAATGAACAACCAAATAAATAAAGAAGAAGAGAAGAAAAGGAAAGAAAGGGAAGGAGGAAGGCAAGATAGGGAGAAAGTTGGGATTATACCTGAGTGCATGTGCACTCCTCAGCATTGTACACCCAAAACAAAACATAAAAAAAAAAAAAACACTTAAAGACTTAAAGCTGTTCAAGGGAAAACAACTTGAAATCATATTCATGGGAGCAAGAGTGAGGGGAGAGGAAATGAATATAAGGAAGCATGAAGTTGATTTTTGGAGGTGAAAAAATGTCCCATATATTGATTATAACATTAGGCATGTAATATATTCTCTGTGGGTAATGTGTGTGTATGTATTCTTTCAAAATTCATGAATGTATATTGTTAAAACTGTTTCCTGCACATAAAATATAACCCTATAAAGTTTATTTTAAAAGCTGTCCTGTGGCACACATTGCCTGGAGGAAATGGCTTAATTTTTAAAAATTAACTTTGTGTGTATGGATGCAGCACCTGGGTGCCTGGTGCCTGTGGAAGCCAGAAAAGGGTGCTGGATTCTCTGGAACTGAAGTTGCAGGCAGTTGTGAGCTGACATGTGGATGCTGGGAATGAACTCGGGTCTTCTGGATAAGCAGCCAGTGTTCCTCACTGCTGAGCCCTCTCTCCAGCCAAGGCTCAAATTTCTTATCCTAGCAGATGCCACGATGTGACTTCCTTCACTCCTTGCTTCTTCTCTTCCTCCATTCCCTAAACACTGTTCGTATTAAGTACACCGCAGATCTAAAATGGGCTTAGGTGTTTCGTCCTTGTATTATTTCTATGAGCCTCTCTCCTCTTTGCTCCATTTAACCAATACAGAAGTCTACCACAGAAAGTTTTTGTTTGCACTCCTTGATTAGGCTGTGAGTGTGACAGCTGGACCCTGTCATCACTGTTAACTTGGGTGCCCAGAGATTTGTAAAAAAAAAAAAAAAACCCGAGAGCCTGACTTTACCATCAATCTCAGTCGGGAAAGAAGGCAGCGGCACAGGCACCACCCCTCCAGTCCTGCAGGCGGCGCTGTGGCCGCCATCCTCTCCCCGCTCCCGAGTTCTCTAGGCGGAGGCCCCGCCCCCTGGCGGCAAGGCCTCCTGCCCATTGGGCCGGCGCGGCCGAGACTGACCAATGGCGCGGCCGCTAGTGGGCGTCCATCTTTGGGCCGGCGGAGCGCAGCGCCGTGGGCGGTTGCAGGAGAGAGGTGGGCTGCCGGCGAGACTGCGGCTTTTCCCCCGTGGCCTCGGCGCTCGCTGCCCGGAGCCGCGATGCCTCAGTTCCAGACCTGGGAGGAGTTCAGCCGCGCGGCCGAGAAGCTCTACCTGGCCGACCCCATGAAGGTGAGTCGTTAGCGGGACGGGGGTCTTCTCTGCCTTTGGCGCGGCTCAGCTCATCCCGGAAGCAGCGTGTGCCCTCGAGCCTCACTGCGCCTCCCGTCGCCTCCCGTCGGACTCGGGGCCCAGTGAGGCTGCGAGTGTCCACCGGGCAGAGCCGTTTCCTCAGCGGCGGGCTCTGCCGTGGCTTCACCGGGGGAACTCCTGACTTCCGCTGTGGCTCTGGTTGGTTGACGTGTCGCTGAGGCTGGGGCTCCTCCCCCTGCACCTTCGCTTTCCTGTCCGTCGCTTATTTCGGTGCCCTCTTTCCCTTCCCGTAAAGGCGTGAGAGTACCTAACGTTTATGAAACGGTGCGAATGTGATGCCGCCACGCAGTCAGCCTTGGGAGCACATTGGGAAGCACCTGCCCCACTCCCCAGGGTGACGCGGATTCTTAGTCTTTTCTGTGGGTCGGCGGTCGTTTTGAAACCTTGAGAGTGCTTGCGCTTATACCTCAGGCGTGAGTGTTGCAAACGGTTTCATTCCCCAAAGCGAATCTCTCCACTCCCATCTCACCAGTTCAGAATAGGTTCTGTGAGAGCCACAGAGGTAAATGTCACCATCCCTTAAGGATTGTTGAAGGTGCGGTGGATTCCTGTATTGTGATATAACCACTGCAGGAGAAAGAAAATGAGAACTAGGCTCAGGGTCATTTCTAATGATCAGCATATAACACAAACTGTTTTTAAAGCTATATGTTAGGGTTTGGGGAGATGCCCAGCATACAGAACTCACATAACAATGGAAAGAAAGGACAGACTCACCAAAATTGTCCTCTAACCACCCCCCCACACGTAAAAATTAAAAAAAAATGTATATATATATATATATATATATATATATGCTGGCAGTTTGTTTTGTTTTGCTTTTTAATTTGGTTGTTTGTTCGACACAGGGTTTTTCTGTAGCCCCAACCTCCAGGTTGGCCTCGAACTCATAGAAATCGTACCTCTGCTTCCAAAGTGCTGGGATTAAAGGCATGCAACACCACCACTTGGCTGGTGCTAACAACTTGTGACAGCAGAACTTACCACAGGTTTTTTTTTTTTTTTTTTTTTTTTTTTGTTTTGTTTTTGTTTTGTTTTGTTTTTTTCAAGGAGCAACTTTTTAAAAGATTAGTTCCTTATTTTTATGTGTACAGTGTTTTGTGTGTGTAGGTTCATGCATGGTGCCTCCTGAGGTCAGAAGAGGGTGTCTGGAGTTAGGGATGGGTACCAGTGTCCAACTGCAGCAAGATAAATTGCTACTATAAGTGGTCTTTGATCCAGGAAGGGAATAGTGGTGCACACCTGTAAGCCCAACGTTCAAAAAGCTGAAGGAGTAAGAGGGAATTTGAGATCAGATTAGGCTTCACAATGAGATCCTGTCTTAAGGCGAAGAGGAGGAACCATAAGAAGACCTGAATAGACATCGGAACGTTTTGATCCATTCTTGTATATTTTTAAGACATTCTCATCTCACATAGCCCAGATTGGCCTCTTTAACTCACTGTGTAGCTGAGGATAATCTTGAACTCTGGATCTTTTTAGTCTAGCTTTTTATTTTATTTTATTGTCTATATTTTTTGAGACGAGGGATTGATATGTTGAGCCCAAATTGCCCTTGAATTGAAGGTTGTCTGCAGCAGCCTGAATACTGGAATTATATGTAAATAACACCATTCCTGGCTTTTCATGGTGCCATTTGTTCTAGTTTTGTTTTTGTGGCTGTGATAAAACACCCTGACAAAAAAAAGCAGTATAGGGGAGGAAAGGGTTTATTTGGCTTACTAGGTTAAAGGCACTTGAACCACTGTATCCATAGTCCAAAGCAGAGAGAAAGGTACGAAAAACCATGCAGCCTTCTTGCTTGTGCTCCACTGAGTTCTTAGCTAGCTGGTTCTGCACAGACAGCTGAGGGCCCAGCCCACAGTCGATTGAATTTTTCCACCTCAATTAAGCAGGTCTCCCTGATCCAGATAATACTCTTCCAGGCTCCCTCCTAAGACGATATTTAAAACTAATTATTCTACTACTCTTAAGTTGACATAATAGTTCATCAGTTTTATTTACAAAGTGATAATAAGTGGTGAAATGAATTAGGTATTTTTGAAATTGTGTAGTTTGACAGTGGTGACCTGGTCATTGCCCTTTCCCTTGAGTTGCCATTTGTTTGCCCTTCAGTTGAGCAGCATGCTGTAAGGTGTACAAGGTTCTGACCAGAAAGGCCTGAAACTGACAACAGTATACACTTTTTAACTTAGTAAAAGAATGGTAAAGAATATGCCAGCACACAGGGTGACTATTTTAAGAATGTGGTGGTAGTTGTAGGGACAGAGAATTGTGGTGATCAAAACATGTTTAGAATAGACGGGAGGAGGAGCCTTACGTCTCCACCCAGGTAGAAAAGTAGAGTGGCCTACGAACTTCTGCTTCCTTATAGCCTACTATTAGTTTTTCACATTTCCCCCCCTAACTGGAGAGGAATATAGAGCATGAATCATGTTCTCCATTTCCAAGATGGTTTGCTCTAAGAGGTTAAATACAGACACCAGCTCTGAACCCCAGCCTCTCTGATCCATGCAGGGCTAAAGAAGACAGTTTGTCAGGTCTCTGAAATGTTTGCTAAGATTCTGCCTTCTCTCCCCAGTGCATATAACAGGGGCCCATATATAGCTTCTCATCCTTTCTCATATTAACCTACATGGCTTGAACTGAAATGCCTTTGCCAGTGGGCTGAAAAAGAGCCTGTTAGTTGGGTCTGTCTTCCTTTTAGTCCCTCCTTCACATTCCTGCCACAGCTGTCTGAAAATAGAGACATTGAAGTGTCCTCTGCTTAAAACCAGTTCTTCATAGATTACTGAATAAAGTCCTAACTCCCAGGCCACTGTCTTGACTCTGTCATTCTACCCCACCCCAATTCTAGAGTTCTCAGCTCTAGACTTGGTGAAGCCACAGACTACCCAGATCTTTGTTCAGATTGCTTCTTGTATTTTCTCCAATCTTCTCTCTAGGAAAACATAACATATTTCTCAAAGCCACCTCCTAAGAAAAGTGGCTCTGACTCTTTTCCCCAGTTATAAACTCCTTTTCTCCTTTTAGTATTTTTACTAGTATTTTTCTTTCTACGACTTTTAATTCATTCTGTTTTGTGTCTGATTATTTTGGACAGGAATCTTGAGTTTTTGTCTGTGTGACTCAGTTGAAAATGGATACTTAATCATATAGCACCATTAATCCCATAACTCTCCCTGTGAAAACAATGAGTATTTTTTAGCCCACAGTTAAAACCCTATATTGTTGTCTTGCTTAGTTTATCTTATAAATTTTGGTTTCTTTGTTCCTACAATCTAAATTGTAAAAATTTATAATACTGAATTTTATAGTTCAATAAATAGGTCAGTTATTGTAAACATAGGTAGCTATTTTGTATTCTGGGTAAGTTTCCCCTCTGTCCTCACCAAGACAAACCTCTTAGAGGTGTAACACTTACACCCTCAGCAGGGCACAGTGCAGTCAGACAAGCTACAGGATGCCACGCTGAAATCATTTTCAAATTTGGGGGCTTTTGGATTGGGGGCAGGAAAGGGTGGGTGGTTCTTAGTGTCTTGTTTTTAAAGTGGCCTAAACAGGGGTTACTGATAGCAAAGCACCAACTGCTGCCGTCACTGTGTTTGCATTCACTGGTGACAGAGAGAAAGTGCTCACAGGAGTTGGAGTTTGGGTGCTGTTGTAGAGGGGTGTGCTGACAGCCAAATTATGTCATGGCTACTTAAGTGTAGAATAGAGAGCAATAGAAAGTGTTCTGTGACACGGTGCTCACTGTTGTGAGCGATTCTGGCTTTGGGAAGAAGACATGGAGACCTTCCAGGTGGACTCCCTTCCAGGTAACAGAGCCTCCTTTTGTCTTCATGATAAAGATGAACACGTCTGAGTAGTCTGGACCTGCCTTCCCAAAGAGTGTGCACAAGTGGGGAGGTGGGGTGGACTGTTTACAGCACGGTTTCCTGGGGGCTGGAGTTGGACTTCAGCCATTTGTGCTCCCTACCATCCCCTCCTTTCATTTGTTTGACAGACAAGAGTGCCAGGCCACACATTCCTTGATGTGTGTGTTGGGAATTTCTTCAAACTACAAACACTTGATGTCTTCAAACTACAAACACTTGATGTGTGAACATAATTACCTGAGTTTGGATCCTCAGCACCCTGTAAAGGTGGGGATGGTGTGCATCTGTGACTCTAGCACTGAGTGGGTAGAAAGTAGGAGGGAGGCAAGCAAAGTCCAGAGCTCACTGGTCACCAATCAGTAAGCTCCAGGTTCATTAAGAGACCCTCTCTCAAGAATTAAAATAGACAGGGCTGGGAAGATGGTTCTTGCAGAGGACCCAGGTTTGGTTTTCAGCCCTGAACCCAGATGGTAGCTCATAACCATTTGCAACTCCAATTCAGGGACTCACACACTTCCTTTTGGCCTCTGCAGGTACCAGGTACTCATGTGTACAGACATTCATGCAGGGAAAGCACTTAACTGTCTAAACACATAAAGTAAAAATAAGCTTTAAAAAACAGTGAGAAATGGAGCACATAGCTCTGCATACATACACACATATGTATCATATGCATACATGGATTTAAAGTTTGAATAGAACAAATGTAATGAACTAATGGCTAGCTTTTGCGCTTCCCCTCGTTTCAGTGAAGTAGCTGCAGGGAAAGCACTTCCAGGTGTCTGGGAGTTTATTCTAAAGATCTTTTGCACCCACTGACTAAATTGTTTATGAATAGTGCCATCTATTTTTGCTTTTCTAAAATAAGTATTTTTATTGCAGGTACGTGTGGTTCTCAAATACAGGCACGTTGATGGGAATTTGTGTATCAAAGTAACAGACGATTTAGTTGTAAGTATAAATTTTTATTTGTTGCATTGGGGGTCTGAGTTGACCATTTTCTTGAACTTGTGCAGGTAAACTATCTAGGTCACTTATTGTGCATGCATTCCATAGTAAAGAACTTCATTCTAGAGCAGTTCTTTTTGGGGTTTTGAGGCAGCGTTTTTTGTATAGCTCTGGCTATCCTAAAACTAGCTTTGTAGACTGGGCTGGCTTTGAGCTCACCAAGATCTGCCTGCCTCTGCTCTCAAGTGCTGGGATTAAAAGCTATTCTTTTAGACTCAGGAAGTAACCGAACTTGCTTCATGAAGGTAGTGTGCCTGCAGTGGTCTAACGGTTGTTTCTTCAGGCCTTAAGCCAGAGAAACAGGGACTAACATTGAGCAGGTTTCTTTTCTTCATGGTGAGAAGTAAATTTTAATGTATGTAGTTTGTTGTTGTTTGAGACAGGTTCTTTTTATGTAGCCCTGGTTGTCCTGGAACTGGATATGTAGACCAGGCTGGCTTTGAATTCACAGAATGCTAGGATCAAAGGCAAGCACCACCCTGTCTGGCTCCATATATGTTTGAAACCAAGGTACTTGTTACTGTTTCTGCATTCCTTCTTCCCTTCCTCTGTGGCTGGTCTCTTCGTGCAGCCCCTCCACCAGTACTACTGATGTGGCTCCACAATGCTGTGATGAGACCTCTAGCTCAGGGCTCTTATTAGTGCGTGTTCATTTGATCTCTGCACTTGTAGCATGAAGACCATTCTCTATGGGAAACTTTAGCCCTTGTAGCTTTACTTTATGTTGCTTTTCTGTGCTCCTGTCTTTGCTAATTATTAGATGTTTCCCCATAAATACCCTGTTTTAACAGATTCTGGTCTTGTTTTTTTTTTTTTGATTTTTCAAGGCAAGGTTTCTCTATATTGCTTTGGAGCCTGTCCTGGAACTAGCTCCACCTGCCTCTGCCTCCTGAGTGCTGGGATCAAAGGCGTGCATGCCACCAGTGCCTGGCTTGGGTTATCTTTTTGTCATCACTTCTTCTAAAACAGTCCATTCTATTCCTAAGTTTGGTACTTCCTATATTCCTGTGTTTGTGTATTTGACATCATGCATCCTTCAAAGTTAGCCTTACCAGAGTGCAGCTTATCTGGTTCCTTCTCATCTGGTTAGGCATGCTGTCACCTACCTGGCCAGAATCCTGGGGGTAGTTATTTGGTCCCCTCCCTTGCCCTCCCCTCCCCTGCCCTCCCCTCCCCTGTCCTCCCCTATCATCCCCTCCCCTCCCCGTCTCTTCTCATGCCTACTGTTGGTTTATTGGAAAAGTGGCATTTTGATCTTAACATGCCATACCTGCTCTTGGCAGGCATCTGGACTTGCTGATTTAAGCCTCCCTTCTCCAACCCTTCCTGTTGTCATCAGCTCTCCATCTTCACGGATGCTCTTTTTAGATTAGGAGCATCCTACTTGCCTGGTTTATTAGAATTGTCTCTCATGGTACCCAAGCTTTTAGTTCGTCCTGTGCACTGGCTGGCAGTGGTCTTACACACACACAAACACACACTCACTCACACTCTTTCCTCCCATTTTCCAAGGGCCATCCACATACTACATATGTACTACTACTGAGTGTATCTCTAACCTTGCCAGAATGATTTTTAGAAGTGCAAACTTGATTGTTAACCCTTTCAAAAAAAAAAAAAAAATCCTTTAAATGTCATCCTCAGGTCCCCTGTGTTTTTTTTTTTTTTTTCTGTATTAGGTAAGAGACTGTTCTCTCAAGTAGGAAATATATAAATCCAACTAAATAGTGAAGGTCTTGTAGCCTATGCTGGCCTGAACTAGCTATGTAGCTGAGAATGATCTTCAATTTTTTATTTATTTAACTTATTATAGGTGTGTGGGTATTTTGTTGCCTGTATGTCTGTATACTGTGTGCATGCCTGGTACCTTAGGAGGTCTGGAGAGGGGAGCTGGAACTCCTGGAACTTACAGACAGGATTTAACTTGCCATTTTTGAGATGTTTGTAGAAGAGTTTTTACACTTCTTCTGCAGCATTTAAAATAACAGTGGGAAAGCAATTGTTGGATGCTCAGTATGACTCCAGAGAGAATAGAGCAAAGTAAGGACAGACAAGACTCCCAGATATTCAGCCACTTACCTGCTTCCCTCATTACTAGTATCTAGCTTTGCTTAGTTTGTGTGTCTTTACATTTCTGACAGTGTTTGGTGTACAGAACAGACCAAGCTCAAGACGTAAAGAAGATTGAGAAATTCCACAGTCAACTAATGCGACTTATGGTGGCCAAGGAATCCCGCACTGTCTCCATGGAAACAGAATGAATGGTTTGAAATGAAGACTGTTTGTATGTTCTTGGGAAGTAAATAGCTTTTGAAACTGAGAACGTGTTGGGAAGAAAATATTTATGTAACTGAGCTGTTGAGAGCTGAGGGACCAGGCTATGCTCTGAGGTTTGCTCTAGAGTGAGAATGTCAGTGCTTGCAGTTACAAAACCTTTATTTTTGGAAACTGAATAAATACCTTAGAAACTTTTTGCAAATCATTTGATGTTGGGCAGATATATAATTATTTTTCTGGTAAATTCATATCAGTAATTTGAGGAATTAACAAGGAAAGTTAGTTCTTTCTAGATTGTGTTTAAGAGGAAATAAAGTGCAACCTTTTGCTGTGTTGGTATGTTTCTTTTGGAGCATAACATTTGTGCCGTTTATAATAAACGTGGCAGCCGAGGTTACTGCTCTGCAGTGTGCCTGATCTGGCATTGTGAAGAGCGGGCTTGCTTTTCCTTCCTTGACAGGTTCAAACTGTGTTTGAATAGAAGGGATCTGTAGCATCAGCTTGCTGATCAGCGAGTGACTAAGTCTGGCAGAATGATGGGCTGAAACCACTCTATGCAGAAAAGTCATCATGTAATTCCCACCCATAGTCTCTCAGAAGGGTTAAGGGTTATTCAGACTGAACTAAAGTACTAAGCATAGCATGCCTCTCAGAACTGTTAGGTTTCTAATAAGCCAGAAGTCTACTGTTTCATATTTAGCCTGTATTTGTAATCTGATTTTACCATATAAATGTAATGTCCCATGTTGTCTGCTCAAGAGTGAAGGTATTGCATTATTGCATTAAAGTTTGTTTTTTTTTTTTTTTTGGTAAAAGTTTGTCATGTTGAATAACACTTTAACTTAGAATTTTAGTCTAAGAGGTCAGTAAATAAAATATACACTGTTTTTGTTGAAGTTTTGAATTTCTTGTGTAGATTCCTTTTCCTTTTTCCTTCCCTTTTTCCTTTCCTTTCCTTCTCTTTCTTTAGCTAGGGTCTCACTAGTCCTGGAACTCACAGAGATCCACTTGCCTCTGCTTCCCAAGAGTTGGGACTAAAGGTGTGGGCCACCATACCTGGTTTGTGTGGATTTCTTGACTAGGGAATACAATATTCATTTAATCTGAAGTAAGTCTAAAGGTACCAAAAGTGAAGGTTTTTGTTATTTTTCTCATCTTTTTATTGCATGAGTCACTAAGATTTGTTGATGGTAAACTTGCTTTCTTGATTTGGTAAAGTAAGATCAAATACTCCCTTTTTTTTAGTTTCAAGTTTTTTGGCTTTAAGTTTTCTCCCCAGAAATAATGGGAGAAAGGGAACATGACCTTTTTCTCATTCACATCTACTCTATGACTCTAGCAATAACCTAGGTAACAATTCTTACAGCCCATGATAAAACTCCAGTGGCCAGATCTCCTGAATGATGTAGTGTTGTGCCCTGAGTGTATCTTTCATTTGCATTTCTGGGTGTTGAATTGTGTGTGACAATTTTAGCAGTCTGTTTTGTGACATATTTGATCAAAATACAGGGAAGGAACTCAAGGCAGGAACCTGGAATATCTATCTATACACGTAAGTTAATGGTAAAAATAAAGTGAGCACTGAGGAAATTGGAGCAGGAGGATCTAGAGGTCAGAGCCCACCCTGACTACTTAGCCCCTATTTAAACATAAATAAGGGTCTGGAGGGGTCTTCAATGGTTACGAGCAGTGGCGCTTCTTTCAAAGGACCCTAGTTCAATTCCTAGCACCGAAATGATGGCTAACAACTGTCTATAACTCCTGTTCCGGGGATCCAACACTCTCACATGGATAAACATGTATGCAAAACACCAATGCATATAAAATAAAAGTAAATTATTAAAAATAAATAGCCTCCCCAAATTGTACATTCAAAATACCTTTAGTTTAATGGATGCCAGTTACACCTCAATCTCGTGTTTCTGATAAGAAAAAAAGCTGCTGCAATGGCCAGTGGCTGCTGTACCCATGACTCCCTGCAACCTTCACACCGGCCCCGCTGCCCCCCAGGACCCCAGCCTGACAAGTGCTGTGTGGAGTCTCCTTTACCTTCTCCCTCTATTCCCAGGCATCAGGCCTGCTCCCACACTTGCCCCTTCACCAGTGGCTGCTACAGTGACATCTCACATCACAGGTGATGGTGTGGAGCAAGTCACAGCGATAGGAAGGTGTTCACAGGGCCTGGCAGTAGTCTGTTCAGCAAATGCCAGCTGCAGTAGCAGGTGTTACTGTCACCTTGGAGGAGTTCTATTTCAGACTCATTGCATCCATGATGTCGCTAAGACAACCTTGGGCAGAGACAAATGTTGGGCTGACCCAGTGACTAATGAGTCAACTTCAGGCTTGTCAGGTCCCCAGGACTGTGCCTGCCATGCTCAAACTGAATAATGGGTTGGGACTGCAGGTGGCAGGTCCCCGGTCTTGGGCTGGGACCACAAGGATTGAGGTTCTAGGGTGGGTGATGGGTGGCGGGTGGATGGGGTAGACCTTTTTTTGAGGGGAAGGTAAGAAAAGGGGTAAAGAGACACAGAGACAGAGAGAGAACAGACGTGAAGAGGGAGATAGGAAAAGTCCTGTCTGCCCCAGGGGAATAGTGGGAGAGAGGGAAAGGAGAGAACAGAAGTGGGCGAGGTCTTTCTTTTAAAGATCCAGGGTACATACACCTGCCATGTGCAGGTGGGTGAGAGGCGGGGCCAGGTTTGCTTGGGTTACAACACAAAACCCCCACCATGTGTGAGGGATGAATGAATGAATGGGGTGAACCTTATGTTCCATATCAACCTCCAGTGACTGTGGCCTTGGACAAGTCACTTGCTTGTCTCCAGAGAAGAGACAGTCACACCCCTGGCACACTAGTGGAGACTCAGAAGCACTGTGGTTGATGCCGTTATGGGCTGTCGGGAAGAGCAGGGAGAAGGGTCCCTTGCCTTGGTTTCTTTATAGTCCCATTACCTTAAACTTGTTATCTGTTCCTAGTCACCCATCCCCACCATCCTTCCACTGGGTCATCCCCAAGGGTGAGCACTTCCTCTTCATTCTTGCTGCATCCTCAGACAGTTCACTGTAAATGTCTGCTTAGTGAAGAGACATTTGCCAGCCAGCATCTCAACTCAGTGCTCCTCACCGGGGCTGGTGAGGGGACTGAGCACATAAAGGTGAAGCCTGATGTTCGGAGTTCAATCCCCAGAACCAACTACCACAAGTTGAGCTGTGGCACACACACACACACAGTTTAAACAACAACAACAATAAAACTGTACTTAACTGCCTAAGGCAAACCTTCCAGGAACTAATACAACACTCCTACTTTGCAGACAAGGATTGATGCCAGGAGACAGATAGATGGACAGATGACTAACTTGGCATGTGCTTGGCACATAAATCCAGCCCCTCTAGCCCCACCTGCCCTGTGTTGAATTTTCAATAACCCCAATAGCAGATACCACTTCTTAACAATGTCAAAGTTAAGGGGACTTTAAGAAGAGAAGCCACTGGTTGAGATGCCCCTCTTAAATTCCAGGATTTGCGGGCAGCACTGGGTTGTGTCCTTCCAGTCGTCCTCATCTCCCTTTCTGGAATGTCACTGCCTTTCAGACCCACAGTTAATATGCACTCATTTCTGTCATGATATGGCACTCAGTAATAGCCAATTAAAAGCTGACACTAAGTAATAGATCAGTTCCCTTTCAGCAGCCTGGCAAACGCCACTGGAAATCAGCTGTGAAGGCAGACTGAGTAAAGAGCCCTGGAACCCTAAAACCCAAGCTTCACTAGACTCCACCCCCTCAGGCCTCTGTCTACCCATGCCAGATAGATGGTGGGTGTGAGTGGTGGCCATGATCCGTCCACTATAGAGTTCCGCAGGCTTACTCTGAGGGTGGCCCTTCCACGGGAACAGTCCCATCACACCTCTGGCTCCTGTGGGATATTTGCAAGGCAACTTGGGAATGGCAGACTAGGTTCTTGCAGACATCTGGCTTGCAGAGGATGACAGTCCTACAGAACTTGCTCTAACCCCATCTCCTGCCTCAAGGCTGAGGTACCATTATGGCCTTGATGACTGTGGCCCATCTCTGCTAGATCGCTCACACCTGGTAGGTGAGTGTGTACCAGCTTCTAACAAGGCTGACTGCACCTCAGGAGTAGGGTGCCCCCCTCTGGTGGTGGGATGTCTGCTGTGATAGGCTATCTCTTCATCGAGGAGGGAGCTTCCTGATACCTTTGCCAGTCATGTGGGCAGTCCTGCCCTTCATGGGTATTTCTTGAGCACTGTAGTAGTTTGAATGTAACTGGTCCCGTATGCTCATAGGGAGTGGCACTATTGGGAGGTGTGGCCTTGTTGGAGGAAGTGTGTCACTGTGGGGGCGGGCTTTGAGGTCTCTCCTTGCTTAGGCTTCACTTTGTGCCACAGTCCACTTCCTGTTGCCTTCTGATCAAGATGTAGCCACCACCATGCCTGCTTGCACACTGCCATGCTCCCCACCATGATGATAATAGACTGAACCTCTGAAACTGTAAGTGAGCCACCCCGATTAAATGTTTTCCTTATAAGAGTTGCTGTCGGGCTGGAGAGATGGCTCAGAGGTTAAGAGTACTGACTGCTCTTCCAGAGGTCCTGAGTTCAATTCCTAGCAACCACATGGTGGCTGACAACCATCTGTAAAGAGATCTGCTGCCCTCTTCTAGCCTGCAGGGATACATGTAGATAGAATGCTGTATACATAATAAGTAAATAAATCCTAAGGTATTAGGTATGATGCTAGAGATTAGGGAAACCAAGATAAAGGGTTCAGATGTGGCCCTGTTCTTAGAGGGGGACAATCAGTAAGTAAGGTCACACCACTCAGTGGCAGCTTTAGACTTGGAAGAGCCCATACCAGGGCAGCAATGGGAGTCTGGGGCACTGGGGTGATGACTTTTGAGTGGAAAGAGACAACTGTGAAGTTTCTGTAGGGGAGGGAAGGCTCCTACAGGTTAGTCAGAAAGATGGCCATGGCCTTGCCCCACGTGGCCCTTGGTGATAGCAGGCCAGTTGGCGGCTGGGAGAAGAGATTGCGGAAGTGAGCCAGCAATGGGTCGTGTGTTGGCTGTCTACTCTGAGTGGAGCCCTGTCTCTAGAGTCAGAAGGAGGATCTCAGAGCCCAGATATAGAGCCCCAGTCCTTCCCACAATAGTCTAAGTCACCAGGAACTAGAACCAGGGTCCCCAGGCTCTAAGGGAATCCTTGGCTTCTCCTCCTCAGCTCTCAGCAGAGCCACAGCCTCAGAAGTCCCCATGCAGAAGCTGGGACACCAGCTGCCTCTTGGGATGTTAGCAACCCAACTTGGCAGTCC